GTCGATTATACGCCGAAATTTTTGATAATATTTTACAACAAATGAACTCTTGATTTCAAAACTTTAACGAATTAAAATTTGTTGAATTGTGCAATTTTAATATTAGTAACTACGATTCATCACAATTTCCATCGGAAGCTTTTAATTCACTAAAATTAAATTATGTAAATTTTTTCGATATTCCAGCATTAAAGTTCCAGTTAAGTGTTGTTTATGAAACAACTGAAATTAGTGATAAAAAGACGCCCATCAATGTGTTAAATATTTTTATAACAACTAGTTTAAATAAGTTGACGATATTTTAACAAAGCCGATACATCAAGCCCAGTTTGCTGCGAATGTCGGCCAACTTCAATTAATATCAGTTCACAGCGAGTGGAAGTGTTAAGATATAGTTCACTTAGACTTACTTTAGTTTATGGTGTAGACGTTAGGGGAGGATAGGGCAATGGTGGTCAGCGGACAATGGTGGTCAAGCACATAGCTAAAGCATGAACAGTCCTTTAAGCATGTAAAGTGCATTACGTCTCCCTCCTCAATGCCCCGAGCGACGAGCACTCTGCGCCGCAGTGTTGCCAGTCTAGTACAATTGTACTAGATCTGGTACATTCTCTGAGAATCTGGTACTCTAGTACACTCGAAACAATATCTAGTACTTTTTTTAGCGTATGTTTCCATTTGAAGTGTAAAATATATTGATCAAAAATTTCAAGAGAAATTAAAATAGTTGTTAAAAATTACTTCAGAGATAAAATAGTAGACATTTCTCGAGAGATAAAACGTTGTTTAAAAATTAAATATTGTTCAAAAATGGCTTGAGAGGTTAAAAAAGGGTGTTAAAAATTGCTAGAGAGAGAATACTGTTGGAAATTTATCGAGAGATAAAATATTTTTTAAAAATAGCTCAAGGGATAAAAAAAGGTTTTTTTAAAAACTGTTCGAGAGATAAAATATTATCAAAGTGTATTAAAATCTTTTTCAAAAATTGCTCGAGAGATAAAATAGTGTTAAAAATTTTGTACAAACATTGCTCGAGGGATAAAAAAAGTTGTTAAAAATTGGTCGAGAGATAGAATACGGTTAGAAATTTATCGAGAGATAAAATATTGTTTGAAAAGAGATAAAAGAGTATCAAAAGGTATTAAAATCTTATTCAAAAACTGCTCGAGATATAAAATAGTGTCAGAAATTTGTCGAGAGATAAAATTTTATTTAAAATTGTTGTGTTTGTATTCTCTATAAACCTTTTATTGCTCTTTAATGACCATACTGGTAATTTTATAGAATCTAGTACATTTTTATTAAATCTGGTACATTTTTTAGATAAATCTGGTACATTACAAAAATATATTCTGGCAACACTGCTGCGCCGTCATTCCGTACGTGGCGTTCGTACAAGGCTAGTGTTTGTTGTTTTCGCGCCAAATTGATATAATTTTACATCTCAACAAATTAACAAGGTAAGCTGAGAAATATTCCTTAATCGACGTAAACGCTGTTTTGTTATTTGAGACTGTTCATCATTATTATGTATTAATACTCATTTCGAATCAAAATATGTATTTTTTTATTTAATAATTTTTTTTTCTATGAAGTCCGTTGCGGGTAATCATGGTCAACTGACCACCATTGCCAGTAATGTTTTTATAATTGTCGTATTGTAACTAAATCTAATTCATTTGTTTTTAGATGCCAAAAAATCAACCAAGAAAAACACAGAAGGCTGCATGGTCTTCGGAGACGTTGGACAAGGCTCTAAGGCTTATGGCTAATAGAACATCCATGAGAAAAGCCGCCGAACAAACTGGAATTCTATTTTCCACTCTACAAATTCGACACAAGAAGAAATTTTATGAAAACCCATCTCTAGGGCGCAAAGCTGTATTTTCTGCAGAAATTGAAAAAGAGATAGCTGAAGTGGTGAAAAAAATGGTTAATATATTTTACGGCTGCACAGCTATCCAAGTAAGGAAACTGGCTTATGAATATGCAGAATGTTTAAAATTGCTACACAATTTTAATAATAATAGTAAAATGGCGGGGCGAGACTGGCTCGAAGGCTTCTTAAAGAGAATATCGGTAAGGATGCCAGAAGCCACCAGTATAAACAGAATAACGGCCTTTAACAAAACAGAAGTTTCACTTTTCTACAAGAACTTGGAGAAACTTATGGAGACCTATAAATATACCCCCAAAAATATTTATAATTGTGATGAGACAGGGATCTCAACAGTCCAAGATCCGGGAAAAATACTAGCTCCAAAAGGACAGAAAAGAGTAGGATCCCTTACTAGTTGGGAGAGAGGCAAAAATATTACCGTTATGTGTACGATGAGCGCTGCTGGGTCATTCATACTGTGATGTTCGTCCCTATCTACTAGGCATCGAAATAAAACTTCGTTTAACTCCAATAATTACTGTATTTATTGTGAATGCCGGAAGCCGAACTAACCAACATAACCTCAATTACAATAGTGACCTTCTCGATATGTGTGGTAAATCGAAACTGGGTCATTGGGTCGTTGGCGTACACCTGCCAATTCAAACCGGTAGCGGAAGAGGGCGTAATGTTTGGGTTGATATACAAGGCCCTTTCGGTTGAATACATTACACATACCCCCAATGTTTATCTTCCCTAGGAAACGACATTCCCCTCTCCTGGAAAAAGATGGCCCTGCTGGTGCTATATACCGCTGCTCAGATAATGGCTGGACCAATGAAACCCTTTTTTTGGAATGGCTTCAACATTTCACAACATTTGCCAAATCTTCTGCAGAAGAACCAGTCTTGTTGATACTAGATAACCACGCCAGCCACATTTGTCATGATATTTACAAGCACTGCAAAGCCCACAACATTCACATGCTATCCTTACCACCACACACGTCTCATAGAATGCAGCCGTTGGACGTGACGTTTTACGGAC